GGGGGGCGCCGTCGTGGTGGGGGGTCGCGGAGGGCGCGGGCGGTGCTGTCGGTGGGGCTGAACCTGGCGGCGCTGCTCTTCTCGGCCACGGCCTTCGGCACGACCCACTGGTGCGAGGGGACGCAGCGGGTGCCCAAGCCCACCTGCGGCCCGCTCCGCCGCACCAACTGCCTCGACTACGGCAACGAGACCGGCGCCGCCGCCTCCTCCTCCTCGTCGCCGGTGCGCTACAGCTGGGAGACGGGCGACGACCGCTTCCTCTTCAGGGCCTTCCACGCCGGCATCTGGTACTCGTGCGAGGAGAACCTCCACACGCCCGGTGAGCGGGGCCGGAGCCGCAGGGGGCCCCTTGGCCCGTCCCGGCCGCGCGCCTGGGAGCGCCCGGGCTTCCTTGGGAAGGCCCCCCCCCGGGGCCCGGGGGGAATCATCTGGCTTCTGGAAGCCCCCTCGGGCCGCCCTCGCCACTCCTCCTCCTCCGGGGCGCCGGGAGAGATGTGCAGCCCCCGGGCTGTTCTGGGGGCCCAGAAAGGGCGGCAGAGCCTCAGGGCCTCCCCTGGGCAGGGGGTGGCCGGCCCGCTCGGGCAGAGGCGCTGGTGGCTGGAAAGGGCCGGTGGGGGGCGGGCCGGGCGGGTCCGGCGCCAAGGCTGCAATCAGACAATCCGATCCAAGCAGCTTAGTGGCAGATCGGTCATTCCATCTGCTCGCTGGGGAGGAGCAGGGACTCCACGGCCAGGGACCCTGCCCAGGGGCTGGGGGTGCGCTTCTGCCTGCGCCGCCTGTCACTTTCCGGCGGCCGGGGTCGGTGTGCAGCCCCCTCCCAGGGACTCCTCCCTGCCGCTCCCCAGCCCAGGGGGCGCTGGCTGCTTGCCTTGGCCCACCGTGGGCCTGCTGCCCTTGGCAAGCGTGGTCTTGCTGTGGGGGGGGGGGGACACACGTCCCTGAGCTCCTGGCTCCTTGCCTGGTGTCTCTCCCCTTGGGGTCCCCTCAGCCACCCTGGGAGGCGGGTCGGGGAATATCTTGACTGAATGAGGATTGGGACCCGGCCTCTGACCACGGTGCCACCCCGTATCTCGGACCACCCAGGGGGGAAAGCCCATGCCAGGGGGGCCCCAGCCCCAAAGGCCTCTGCAGGTCAGCCTGGCCGGCCACAGAGTTCTACTGTGGGTGGGGAAAGGAGAGGAGGGGGGAAGTGGTGAAACTCCTCGGTGGTGGTGGGGGTTGTATGGGGTGGGCGGGTGCTCCCACACTCCTGGTATTAATCCGCACTGCAGCCAAGTCATCGGGGTGCAGCTCTGGTCGCAGCATGTCGAAAACGGGAGTGGCAGGTGGGAGCTCAGGGGACAGGCCGGGAAAAGGCATTTTCAACATAAACATCTGCGGGCTGCTCTGCTTGGCTCTGTGGTGGGTGGGTGAGTGAGCCCAAGGGGTCCTCTTGGCCGTGGGACGCCACCCCCCTCCTGCCAAAAAAGCCCTGCCTCCTCCCACCGACTCAAGTTCACCTGTGGCTCGGTTATTCAGTCACGCCCTCTGGGCCGGATTTGAGCCAGCCAGCCAGCCAGCCAGAGAGAGCTCTTCTGCAGGGGAGAAGAACCCCGCCTGACAGGCGTGCTCTCGGTCTCCCAGTTGCCGGGGGAAACGCGGAGGCGCTGCTCTACACCCCCAACTGGCAGAGTGGGCCGCTGCCATGGAGAATTCCGGGGGTGGGGTGCAGTGAGGCTCCCGAAAGGAAAATATTGGACCCTGGGAATCGCAGAGCAGAACGCTGCCTGCAGTGCTGTCGTTGCTGGTTTGCCCTCTGGAAACAACTTCTGTTTTGGGTTGTGCCAATTTGCAGGCCTCACGTGCCCCCCCTCCCCCCCATGAGCAGTGGGGGGGGCTCCCTTGTGGAGAGCATGTCACGGGTGCAGGGAGAGGAGGCCTGAATATGTGCCGGGTGGCATTTCTGGGCGCTTCTGTGGAACAGTGCGGCGGCGGCAGCGGCAGAGAGGAACTTCAGGAGCCCTGGGGTCGGGGCTGCCCTCTGCTGCCTCTGGGTGACTTTTTGCAGTGCCCCCCCCCCCCAAGAGGCAAAGGATGCCACGGATGTGCCCTTCCCCACCCCCAGGTGGGAACTGCTGTCCTGCAACAAGGCTGGAAGCGGGGGAACTGGCCCGGCAGGTGCCACCAGAGCAGCCAAGGAGGGAGCTGGAGGGGTGGAGAGGAGGGAAGGTGCATTGGGGCACGGAGACTCTTTGGGGAGCTCAGTGAATTGAGGCCTGGGTGGGGGTGGGGGTCAGGATGAGAGAAGGCCAGCGAGGCTGAACCCCGCTCTCTTCTTTCCCAGGTGAAAAATGCCGCAGCTTCATTGACCTGGCTCCGGCTTCCGAGCGAGGTGAGAGGGGCGCCCTGCATCCCCGGGAAGCCCACCGCACCCTGGCTGTGGGAGGCTTTGGGGTGTCCCCGTCTTCTCTGTAGGGGAACCGCCTGGAGATGGCAACACGTCCGTCACAACTCAGAGGGGGAAAGATTCTGCCTTTCTGTGGCGGGTTGGGCTGCAGCCCCTTGGAGTGGGCGTGGGGGTGGGGGTGTCTGCTGGGAGCAGGTCCCTAGCTCACCTGATGAGAGCGCGGAGGAAGAGCAGTGGCCCTTTCCCCGGTTGTCCCCCTGCCCTTCTGCACGTTCAGGCTCTGTGCTGCCTGTGGGGGGAGCCCTCCAGGGATGGCCCAGGGAGCTCTGGCGAGAGGAGAGGAGGGCCCCGTGGGTGGGTGGGTGGGGGCCTTATCCCAGTGGCAGCTTGCCCTGAGCCGTCTCAGCAGCCCTCCCGGCTTGTGCCGGGCTTTGTGGCCCTGCCCGGTGGTGCCTCTCCTTCCGTGCTTCTGGCCTCCGCCGTAGGGGCTGCGTGGCCCCCCCTTGCTTCACTGCCGCTGCCCCCCCCCCCCCAGTCCCCCCGGTTGGTTGGGAGTTCTTTGCTGGCCTTTTCCTCAGATCCTCGTGGGTTTGTGGAGATCCAGGACGACTGTGGAGAGGCCAGCTGCACTCTCTCTCCTTCTCAAGGAGCAATTTTCTCATGCCGAGGTGGTGGTGGTGGTGGCTGTGTGGGCCGAGCCAGATCGTTAGGGAGGGGCTTCTTTTGGAGGGGAGAGGGAGGTGCAAAACAATCACCTTGTGGTTCCTGGCTCCAACCCTGTGTTCGTGTGCAGAATGTCCCCTGAACTATGGCGCTCCGCTCCCCTGGCTGCCTGGGACTAGTCCCAAACGTGACCCAGCAGCTCCGCTGAGGGACTGCGAGGCGGTCGTGGAGGGGCCCCTGCTCCTCCCTGTGCCAATGACGGGGCCTCTCGTGTCCCGGCAGGGGTGCTGTGGCTGTCGGTGGCCTCGGAAGTCCTCTACATCGTCCTGCTGGTTGTCGGCTTCAGCCTCATGTGCCTCGAACTGGCCCGCTCCAACAACTTGATCGACGGTCTGAAGCTCAACGCTTTTGCCGCTGTCTTCACGGTGTTGTCAGGTAGGGGCTGTGGGTCAAGGGGGGGGGGGGCGGGGTGGGGAGAAAGGGAGGGTGCACACGGTTCCTGTAAGGGGAGGCCTGGAGAAGGAACGTCTGGGGAGTGCCACCTGCTGGGCGTGTGGAAGGTCCCGGGTTCAACCCCCGGCGGCATCTCCAGCTAAGAAGGACCCGGTGGGGACTGATGGGAAAGGCCGTTCTCTGTCTGAGTCCCTGGAGAGAGTCTGCGGGGCTGGCCTTGAGGGAGCAGAGGGGTCTGAATCCGTGGGGAGGCCGCTTCATCAGGCGTGAAGGAATCCTTCTGACGGGACAGCCGCTGCGTGAGAGGCTCTTGCAGCCCGAACAAAATGAGTCTTGTGGCTCCTGAAAGACTAACGGCCATCTTCTTGGCACTGACGGACCTGCCACAAATGCGGTCCCACTGAAATTCGGAGACCGGCAGGAGACTATTCCGGCCTCCTGAGGAAGTGTGGCCCACACCCCCCTGCCAGAACAGAGCCCTCCCTGCCTGCCTCCTCGGGCCCTGGGCGTGAGCCACCGGGCTCTGTCAGGCAGTGGGAGTCAGCCCCGTTGCTGCTGTTAGGGTCACG